ACTATAAAATATTTAGAAGAAAACATAGTGACAAATCTTCGTGACCTTGGTGGCAATGAATTCTTAAAGATAATACCAAAGGCACAAGCTAAAAGAAAGACAAAATAGATAAATTGCAATTAACCAAAATAAAATAAAATGTTTGTACATTAAAAGACACTATCAAGATACTGAAAAGACAGTCCACAGAATGGAAATAAATATTGACAAGTCATATGTCTGATAAGTGTCTAGTATTCAGAATATATATATATAAAAACTCTTACCTTTCAACAAGGCAAATAACCCAATTTAAAAAATGGACAAATGACATGAATACATATTTTTTCAAAACAAATATACAAATAACCAACAAGTACATGAAAAGATACTCAATTAAGAAAATTTTAAAAAAACATTTTAAAAACAAAAAAAAATTGCAATTACAAGTGTTGGCGAGGATGTGGAAAAATTGGAATATACATTGCTGGTGTGCCGGTAAGAATGTGAATTGTGCAGCCACCGTGAAAAACTGGTGATTCCTCAGTAAGTTAAACATAGAATTATCATACGACCCAGTGATTCCACTCCTAGGTATATACCCAAAAGAATAGAAAGCAGGTGCTCAAACTAAAACTTGTACATGAAAGTTCATAGTAGAATTACTTACAATAGCCAAAACGTGGAAATAAAACCAAATGTCCATCAGCGGATCTACTGATCAACAAAACGTGATACACACAATGGACAGTTATTCAGCTATCAAAGGGAATGAGATGCTGATCTGCGCTACATGGATGGACTCTGAAAACACGTGAAGTGAAAGAAACTAGGCACAGAAAGCCACGTACGGTAGGATTCCATTTATACGAAATATTCAGAATTGGCAAATCCGTAAATACAGAAAGCAAATTAGTGATTGCCAGGGTCTGAGAGAAAGGAGGAAAAGGGGGTAAGTGCTTAATTGGGATGGGATTTCTGTTTGTAGCAAAGAGAAATTTCTGGAACTAGACAGTGGTGATGGTTGCACAGTGTTGCGAATGTACTTCATGACACTGATCTGTACATTTTATATGACAAACTTGGTAAATTTCACATTATGTGTATTTTACCACAACTAAAAAAAAAACTAATTGTATTAAGAAAAATATTACTTCATCACTGTGGCATACACCAATAATAAAATGATTGGATGTAAGAAAAAAAAAGTTCTATAGCAGCATGCACCAAAATTACTATTACAATCAATTATTTAAGATTCTTTCCCCTATTACATGATAAATCTTGCAGAGAGAGATCTGATTCTTATGCTCTGTGAACTGTATTTAGCAGTAAAAAAACCTAAAACAACGCATGATTTAAAAAAAAAAAAAGAGTTGATTTCCCTTTTATACAACTTCGTGTATACGTTATTCAATATTTTGTGTAATTCAAAAATTGTGTATAATTATTCAATAGGGAAAAAAAAAAATCCCCAAAGCTTCTTTAGCCTCCAATTTCACTCCCCTGATATACAGCATCACCCTCTATCTCCCTACTGAAAACTCCAGGAGATAAAATGAACGTTTTATGATTACATGGGCTTTATGCCACGCTTGGTCTTTGGAGGTCAGCATGAATTTTCTCATTTCTGAAACACCGTGAGCCATCTTCACTCCTTATGCCATCAGTTTTTGTTTTTTTAAGAAAAACATGAGTGCTTTTTTTCCTAATTCAACCCCATTCTGTTTTAAAGACTTCATAAAGTGCTCTTTAGACATGTATTTGAACAGAATATAGCACTTATACCACTACTGACTTGGAGATTTCCAATATTTTAGGGTTTCAGAATCCTTGGCTGCTCTCCTGCTTTTGAAAGCCATGTGTACTGAATTCATTGATGTTATCAATACTCGAAGTAAAACACTGCCCGTTATACAACTTGTCCCCCTGCGTAAAGGAAAATGACTCTACTAGCTCACCACCAGTGACTCATATTCTTGTGTTTGTATGTTTGTTTTTCCTGGTATTGGAGAAAAACTGAGGATCACGGAGTTTCCGGTAATTCCAATTAAGACCGATGGGCTCTGATCCATTTAAATTATATGATCTGTTATTCTTCTGGTCTTTGGTATTCTAGCAGTTTGCCAACATTCAAGAAGGAGGCCTGGTGGCACAATGGGTAACCGCTCGGCTGCTAACTGAAAGGTCAGCAATTCGACCCCACTAGCCACTCCATGGGAGAAAAGACCTGGTGATCTGCTTCCCTAAAGATTACAGCCTAAGAAACCCTATGGGGCAGTTCTACTTTGTCCTACAGGGTTGCTATGCATCAAAATTGACTTGATGGCACAGAACAACCGTACAATTACATAAAGGGTAGAGTTTGTGACAGTATAATTAAATCTTACAAAATTTGGTCCCGAGACTTTTCGATAACTCTCACTATGCCATTTTTCTTTGTTGTTAAGGGCACAGTACGTGAGCTGGAGTTCCATTTTGAACAGTGAGTTTTTATTGTGGCAGTTTTGATACATCTATATGGATAAGCGGGCCTCTTCCTTTACTGGGAATGTTATCCTTGTATAAAGAATCTGGAGGAGATCATTCCTGTAGTTCCAGTACTTGCACTGAGCAGCTCTGGGACTTTAGGTAAACCACAAAACATTTCTAGGAATAGAGTCAAAGCAGATTGTCACAAAAGTCTCTCCTCAAAAATTCTACTGAACTATCTGTTAACACACCAGTGACCATATACTTCCCACCTATTGGAGACATTTATGCATTTTCTGCATATCAGCAGCTATGAGTCAACAAAGTTTCTGTCCTTCTGCACAGGGGACTCTGACACCCACAGGTGAGGATACAGTTCTCAGTTTAGCCATTTATTTCTTCTATGCCCTCATCAGTTCATCTGTGGTGACTCTATCCAGGGCAATCATTTTGACTCACCTTGACTCAGTAGCACATAACGATCACAATGCACTCTTCTCGCCACATCCACCTTAAGATACCACTCATGTTCTGACAGCTCATGATTGTCTCCTTTATTTGGAGGGGGTTGGAAAGCATCTCCTGGATGCTTTCAGTCAGAATATCAGTGCTGCCCTGGTGGGCTATATGCAAATCAAATGATTGTCTCGGAATTCTGGTGCAGTGAAGTTCACACTAGTACAGCAATTCCACGTCTGAATCTTGGCAAATGTGTGACGCTTTGTTAGCCTCATGTCAATCTATGCAAAATGGAAATACTACATGTATTCTAAAATACTGTGAATGCACATGTGTGTTCATGTTTGTTACATTTGATTCACTTCCATTTATACTTATAGGTAAGTCCTACTCTCTGAGATTTTTAAAGGGCTGACGGTTAAGTTTGTAGCTCAACTGACCATTCCCCAAACCTCGATAAACTATATTTATAATGAATTTATTTTTCTTTTTTAAAATTCAGGGAAGAATAAATAAATGCTTTTTCTAAACAATGCTTCAGAGGTTTCCAGGAGCATCTTAAGTTGGTTGAAATTGTCCGTTTTTCTCATTGGGGCTTCTAGGTCCACACATCTGTCCCTGCTAGGTCATATTTTGTTTTATTTCCACCTGTATCAGAGCAGAGGACAGTCTGGGTCACCTCTGCATTCTTCTGGTAGTTCCAAGAACTCCTTCCCGATAACTTTACTGGAAGATTGGAGGACTAAGATGGGTGACCCTAAACTCTGCTGCCGTATTACCTTAGTCTTGCCTCTAACATAGCACAGGACAGTCAGATGTGTTTACTTGATAAATTCTTATTAAAGGGCCTCTGTGTATCAGACAAGCAGCTGTGGCGGCACAGTGGTTAAGCGTTTGGCTGCTAACCAAAAGGTTGGTGGCTCAAACCCACCAGCCGTTCCATGGTTGAAAGATGTGACAGTCTGCTTCCGTAAAGATTACAGCTTTGGAAATCCTTTGGGGCAATTGTACTCTGTCCTATAGGGTTGCTATGATATGGAGTCAACTTGAAAGCAACAGGTGTACTGGACACTATGCTAGGCACTGGGGACCCAAAAGTAAGCAAAATAGACAGAAAGTCATGGCTCCATGGAACTTATAATTTAGGGTAGTGAGACAAGTAACAAACGCAGTAAATTAAGAGTAGTGTGTTTTTACTTGATGATAAGTAGTACGAAAAAATAGAAACAGGAACTGGGGAAAAGGGAGATAAGAAGGTTTTCAGTATTAAAAACACAGTCAGAGAGGACCCTAACAAGGAGGTGATTTTAGAAAAAATGGCCTGCCGAAGTTGAGACAGCCATGCAGACATTTCATCTTGGAGAAAAGAACCACAAGTATGGGAAAGAGCAAATGCAGGCTTGTAGTATAACAAAGAGTTGAGCAGCCAAGTGATATGATCATATTATATCTTAATATAATCCCTGGTTGATGGTTTGAGAATAATTTGAATTGGGCAAGGGGAAAGTGGGGAGAAAAGTTAGGATATTATATCAATAATTCAAGGGCTAAACATGGACATATGAGCCAGGGTAGCATCAATAGAGTGGGGAGGAGTAGGGAGAATTGGTGAGATTCTGGACGTATTTAAAGATAAAGCAAATAAATGTTGATAATCACTGGATGTGAGAGAAAGAGAAATGTCAGGTTGGACTCAGTGTTGGGAAAAGGCGTGATGTTAATGCTTGTCAATGGTTCATCACATGGAACATCATCATCTACATAACTGAATCCCTATCAGTAATCATTTAGGTTGGCTCCAGATGTTGGAACTGTAAGTAATATTTCAATTTAAAAAAATCAATGCCAACAACCTTGCGTGAATATCTATTTTTTCCCCAGGCAATGAATATTTTCAAGTCTTTTTACATACATTCCAAACTGGCCTTTAGGAAAGTAATGCAATCCCAGTGCTGTTGAGGACACTTTCAACAGCAATTGGTAAATAATTATTTTTATTTTGCTAATATATAATCACTACCTTTCTCACATCCTCTGTACCACCCCATCCACCCACAGGTAGAGATATTCCCCATTCCCAGCTGTGTATGATGATGGGAAGAGTCAATGTTAGTTCTACAGAAGTCTTCATCCTCCTTGGCCTCTCTACACGACCCTCCCTGGAACCTGTCCTTTTCATACTTGTCTCTATATTTTATGTGGTGTCTATTGTGGGCAATAGCGTCATCATTCTGGTCTCATGCATGGATGTGCATCTCCACACTCCCATGTACTTCTTTCTCACTAACCTCTCCTTCCTGGACATTAGCCTCATCACGAGCATTGTCCCACAACTCCTGGTCAACCTGTGGGGACCACAGAAAACCATAAGCTATGGAGGGTGTGTGGCCCAATTCTATATCTCCCATTGGTTGGGGGCAACAGAGTGTGTTCTCCTGGCAATCATGTCCTATGATCACTATGCTGCCATCTGCAGGCCACTACACTATACTGTTATCATGTATTCACAGCTTTGCATAGGTCTGGCCTTTGCCTCATGGCTTGGGGGTCTGATCACCAGCATGGTGGGCTCCACACTCACCATGCTGCTACCACCGTGTGGGAACAATCACATCAATCACTTCTTTTGTGAGATGCCCCTCATTATGCAACTGGCTTATGTGGACACCAGTCTCGATGAAATAGAGAGGTACCTAGCCAGTTTTTCTGTTGCTGTCTTGCCTCTGGGTCTTATCCTGGTCTCATATGGCCACATTGCTGAAGCGGTGTTGGAGATCAGGTCAGCAGAAGGGCAAAGGAAGGCATTCAACACCTGCTCTTCCCACGTGGCAGTCGTATCTCTGTTTTATGGGAGCATCATCTTCATGTACCTCCAGCCAGCCAAGAACACCTCTCATGAGCAAGGAAAGTTTATAGCCCCCTTCTACACCGTAGTCACCCCAATGTTGAACCCAGTGATTTACACACTTAGGAACAAGGATGTGAAGACAGCACTCAGCCAAATTTTATTAGAGAACTGCTGTGGTTTTGCAGGAAAATGCGGGTATACTTAGACACTCTAGTCTTGATTCCTTGCTAAAACCGAAGAGGACTTGAAGCACTTACTGATGAAGATCAAAGACCATAGCCTTCAGTATGAATTACACCTCAACATAAAGAAAACAGAAATCCTCACAACTGGACCAATAAGCAACATCATGATAAATGGAGAAAAGATTGAAGTTGTCAAAGATTTCATTTTACTTAGATCCACAATCAACACCCACGGAAGCAGCAGTCAAGAAATCAAAAGACACATTGCACTCGGCAAACCTGCTGCAAAAGATCTCTTTAAAGTGCTGAAAAGCAAAGATGTCACCTTGAAGACTAAGGTGCACCTGACCCAAGACATGGTGTTTTCAATCGCCTGATATGCATGCGAAAGCTGGACGATGAATAAGGAAGACTGAAGAAGAATTGATGTCTTTGAATTGTGGTGTTGGTGAAGAATATCGAATATACCATGGAAAGCCAAAAGAAGGAACAAATCTGTCTTGGAAGAAGTACAACCAGAATGATCCTTAGAAGCAAAGAAGGCAAGACTAACTCTCACATACTTTGGACATGTTATCAGGAGGGATCAGTCCCTGGAGAAGGATATCATGCTTGGTAAGGTAAAGGGCCAGGGAAAAAGAGGAAGACCCTCAATGAGATAGATTAACACAGTGCCTGCAACAATGGGTTCAAGCATAGCAATGATTGTGAGGATGGCGCAGGACCTGGCAGTGTTTCATTCTGTCATATATAGGGTCGCTATGAGTCAGAACCAACTTAATGGCACATAATAACAACAGTCTTGTTTAAGGAGGAAGAATGACTTTAAAGATCCTAAAATTAATTTTGGAGGGCAGGATATTTGGGATGTCAATTCCATTCTAATTAATGTTTGACTTCAAGGTAGACAGCACTGTGAGATGGAGTGTGTTCATGCACTGCTTTAAGACCAAGATGAGAAAACATTTTCTATTTTTGTATTTTATTAATTCTTTATAATAATATATTCCATTTAGGGTACCTAACCTCTGTGAGATACTTTACAGTGTTTTTAACATGTGTAATAACTCAGTGAGGTAGCTATTATTAACCTCACAGATTTAGGTAATGATAGAGCTATTTAATTTTTTTTTTTTTAATATTTTATGGCAATTTAGGAGAAGGCTTACAGAACAGATAGTTTCTCATGTAACAGTAACACACATGCTGTTTTATGACATTGGTTAACAACCCCACAACATTTTAACCCTCTAAATTCTCAACTTTTTTTTTTTTTTGGTGAAAATACACATAGCCAAAGATACGCTATTTCAAAAATTTTTTTACATACACATTTAAGTGACATTGACTACGCTCTTCTAATTGTGCTGTTATTCTCACTTAAGATGAAGGCTTACAGGACAAAATAGTCTCCCATTTAACAGTTACTACAAATGTTGCCCTATGACAATGGTTAACAATCTCATAACACATCAACAATATCCTTACTCTACTTTGTGTTCCCTATCATCAGCTTCCTACTCCCCTTCTGCCTTCTGGGCCTTATCACTGGACTCCTGTACCTCGTTACTCTCATGGTTTTACTGGGCTGTCCACTCCCAGGCTGAACAGTGAACCTCGAAGGTAACTTCGCCACTGAGCTAAAAGGGTATCTGGGGGCCATACTCTCGGGGTTTCTCCAGTCTCCTTTAGGCCAGTAAATCTGGTCTTTTTTTTTTTTTTGTGAGTTAGAATTATGCTCTACATCCTTCTCCAGCTCTGTCCAGAACCCTCTGTTGTGATCCTGGTCAGAGCAGTCAGCGGTGGTAGCCGGGCACCATCTAGCTGTACTGGACTCAGTCTGGTGGAGGTCTTGGTAGCTGTGGACAATTAGTCCTTTGGACTAATCTTTTCGTTGTATCCTGTTCTCTTCATTCTCCCTTGCTCCCGAAGGGATGAGACCAGTGGAGTATCTTAGATGGCCGCTCACAGGCTTTTAAGACCCCAGACCCTACTCACCAAGGTAGAATGTAGAGCATTATCTTTATAAGTAGTGTCATGCCAATTGAGCTAGATGTTCCCCAAGACCATGGTCCCCAGAGCCCTCCGTCCAGCAACTCAGTCCCTCGGGGAGTTTGGATGTGTCCATGGGGCCTCCATGACCTTTCCTTGTACAGGTTGTGTTAGTTTCCCCTGTATTGTGTACTGTCTCACCCTTCACCCAAGATACCACTTGTATATTGCCTATTTAGTATTCCCCCCCCCACCCCTCCCATCCCTGGTAACCAACAAGAACTGTTACATTTTGCGTGTGAACTTTTTCATGGGTTTTTACAATAGAGGTCTCATACAATATTTGTCCTTTTGTGATTGACTTATTTCACTCAGCATAATGTCCTCCAGTTTCATCCATGTTATGAGATGGTTCACAGATTCATTACTGTTCTTTCTCGTTGCATAGTACTCCATTGTGAGTATGTACCATAGTTTGTTTATCCATTCATCTGTTGATGGGCACCTACGTTGTTTCCATTGTTTTGCTATTGTGAACAATGCTGCCATGAACATAGGTGTGCATATGTCTATTTGAGTGACGACTCTTATTTCTCTAGGATATATCCCTAGGAGAGAGCTATTTAATTTTTAAACTGAGATTTAATCCTAGATCAATCCATTCATAGACATGTCTGCCCTTCTTCTTACAACTTCTTCAGGAGGAGAAACTAAACATGAAAGAGTTTCAAGAGTAGAGCTTTCAGTTGATTTGCCAATAAGTTAATAGTTTTATCAATAGTATGCCTCACTGATTTATCTATTCTAAAAAAATGCTGATTTTCTACTCAGCTCTAGACCTTTTGTTATCAGAAATGTAACAATATTTTTCATTCATTTGCACATGTGTTTTTCTTTATTTTTCTATACACCCAAGCATACATACATTCATTCTTAAGATGAGGCATATACATGGAGATTGTAAAGATGAGCACACAATATGGCAATAAGACATGAAAATCAAGTTCATGAAACTGTCACTTGCTTTGTTAATTTTCAGATGAACACAGTCTCGTAGAGTTGATAATAGTGTTTCCATTTTACAGTTGACGAACTTCTTTCTGATCAGATAAAAAAGACGGCATTTATGTTTGTATTGAACATTACATAAGTGGAGTGAACCACATAAATCATATATTTGCAACAATATGATTATTTGCATGCTTATTCTTTGGGTGACTTTTTTTTCAAAGTTTTGCCTTCCAGAATTTTTTCACTTTTCTGATTTAAATGTCATATTTCAAGTCTCAGGCTGCTCATTCAGTTAATACCAACAGATATTGGGAGATTTCAGTCTTGGGAAAATATGCAAATATATTATTGAGATTAATAACAATTCAGCATTATCTGCTATTAACCTCTTGGAACACTGTCATTTCTTATGTAATTTAAGAGTATGTAAATACGTATAAAATGGGACCAATAATTAATACATATATATATTTATGGTCAAAATAAAATATTATTTAAAATTTATGAAATGAAAAAGTTACCTACATTCAGTTAAAATACTGATTTTCTTTTACGTATTCTCCTCTACCCAATTTCCATGTGTTTGCTGACTCATATGTGGTAATTTTTGTAATGGAGGCACAACTTTCTATTTCCTTTAGTAAAATTAACGGTAATAATAACCAGCACATCTTGAGTGCTCAACATTGTTAGGCACATTCCAAGCAATTTATCAGAATTAACTCATTTACTTTCATCTGTGCACTATCGTTATCTCCAATTCATAAATGAGGAAACCAAGGCCTAAATTCACCGAGCTTAGGCATATGGCAGCTAAGATTTCAACATAGACAGTTTGTTTCAGAGCCCCCTGTGGCTCCTTAAGTACTTTTGCCATTAAACCGCATAAAAATATCCACATTGACAAAGTCCTCATAATGTTTTCAAAGCACGTTCCAATAAATAGATATTCCTTGGTTTCCATCAATTCTATAGCTGCTATATTAATCAGGGTCACAGTAGCAAACAGATACACAATATGGCAATACACATTTAATAAAGGGAAATTTCCCAAATATGTGGGCTGGCTATAGGTAAACTACAAGGAAGAGTACAGTAACCTGGGTCCATTACTACTTTGATCAAAGGTGAGATGGGGAATGAAATTTCAGGAAGCTGAGGACAGCAGAATCTGTGTAGAGAGGGCTGCCTAACAGGAATTATGATCACCATGGAGAGAAACATCCTGACATGGCATTTTCCTAGAGAAAATTGGAGAATAAATATACTAACCTCACTCTACTTACATCTTACTGTCTCCTAGCATGGCTTCCCACTGGCTGAACCCAACCACAAGCTAAAGTATTAGAAAGCCCTCTGGTGTAGTCCATACAGGTGGGCCTGTAGGGCACAGAGCAAGGTGGAGAAAAGTGGAGAGTGAATCATCTATAGTGTCAAAAAAATAATATCCACTAGAGCCCATCTATGCTGTCCTCAGCATTCATTCTACTCCTTAATTTAGATAAAAGTTCACATCCTTGTGGGGCACAGAAACTCCCATATCACCAAGTGATGTCAATTCAGTGATAATTTCATGAAAACCTACACACCAGCCACCACTAGTCTCCTAAACATAAATGGGCATAATCAAAGGAGAGTGAGGCAATTATTTTACGTAACACGTGACTACTGTAGCTCCCCTTTCTCTAGTTGAGTATGACATCAGAGTTTTTAATCATGCTGTTGTTGCTGTTATGTGCTGTTGAGTCACTTCTGACTCACAGCGACCCTGTGTACAACAGAATGAAACACTGCCTGGTCCTTCGCCATCCCTTACAATCCTTGTTATCCTTGAGCCCATTGTTGCAGCGGCTGTCTCAACCCATCTCTTTAGGGGTCTTCCTCTTGTTCGATAACCCTCTATGTTACCAAACATGATGTCCTTCTCTAGGGACAGTACCCCCTGATAACATGTCCAAAGTATGTAAGACAAAGTCTCACAATCCTTGCTTCTAAGGAGAATTCTGGATGTATTTCT